GTTAGGTGACCTAAACACACATGCTTAGTCTGCCTTTAACTAATTTAGAATTGTCTGTATCTGTAGGATCCAAGCCTAGGTATTTCCCCTCTGCCATCCTGCCCTTCACAAACATTTTTAAGCAATTTCATAAAACAAATAAAAATGCAATTCATTTCTAAATTAAAAAAAAATCACCAAACAGCTCATAAAGTTTCTTTTCCCCATCCCTATCCCACAGGCTCCAAATCAATATGAATAGCTCCCACTGTCCACCTAGCTGCCCAAGCTAAAAACCTGCTTTGGTTTCTTTTCACTGTATGCTTGCCTGCACCTTCCCCCAACCCCCACATGGCTCAATTTTGCTTATTCAGCTGCCTAAGTCTCTCACTGCCTCCCTTCTCCTTGCCTGCTAGGCCTTAGCTCAGGTCCCACCGTGTCTCACCTTGACCTCTGCAGCCCTCTCCTAACTGGTCTCCCTGCCTCCAGTTCTTCCCCCTCCAGTTCTTTGTCTGCACTGGGGTGATCTTTCTAATTTCCAAAAGTGATCATTTCATTTCCCTGCTAAAAATCCTTTAGAGACTCTGCATCAACCACAAGATAAAAGCCAAATCCTTAGACCCTCAGGCCTTTCCCTCCCTCTCTGGGACTCTTGCTTCCCTTTCTCACAGCACTGAGTGCTGTACTGTCAGATTTTAGTGAGAACACAAGCCACTAGTCAATTAGGGACCTTCTTCGCCATTAGACCATCAGGCCATCTCTGAATTTCCTGCGTTCAGCCTAAGCCTGGCATGGAGGAAAATGTAGAAAATAGCTGCTAATGATGATTCAAATGCCTGCAGGCTAGAAGACACAATAATGATACTGCTTGCTGTGACCAGACTCTAAAAACCCATTTTCAAATGTTGCCTCAAAGGCTGCACAAAAGTCAGAAACTCATCCATAATGGCTCTTATCAACCTATTGCCTCCCACAGCAGCCTGGGTACAAATGGCTTTGGATCCTTCTGAATAGTACATTATTATTCTTTGCATTTTAATAATTTTCATGAACTATAACATTTGACACTGTTAGTGCTCACTCCATTGTTTCCAGCCCCATCCAAATATGTGACTCAGGAAGGCAGGTACCAGAGGTCCCAGGCAGGAACTGGTCCATAAAAAAATAATCCAACACATCTCCCACCTAAAAAACAAGTAAATCTAATTTTTCAAAACCACAAACCCATTATTTAATTGAAAAGGTGCGATTCTTAAAAAAATGATTAAGCAACACAAACATTATTATGCCAAAAGATGCCAGTAGGTGGTAAAGGATAGTGAGGGGTAATGTTCCAAACTGTATTTTATGAAAACATATTAATTTTATAACCTAAAACTTCAGACCTTGTATTTCTTGCTCTGTCACCTGGGCTAGAGTACAGTGGCATCATCATAGCTCACAGCAACCTCAAACTCCTGGGCTCCAGCAATCCTCCGCCTCAGTCTCCCAAGTAGCTGGGACAACAGATTTGTACCACCACATCCGGATAATTTTTCTACTTTTTGTAGAGACAGGGTCTCACTTGTGCTCAGGCTGGTCTTGAACTTCTGGCTGCAAGCGATCCTCCTGCCGTGGCCCCCCAGAGTGCTAGGATTACAGGTGTGAGCCACCACACCAGCCTGTATTTTTAAAAATAGTAAATGTTTAGTTTTAAAAAACATTGTGGTAGAATACACATAAAATGTACCATCTTAACCATTTTATTTTATTTTATTTTATTTTATTATTTTTTTTTTCCTTGCCAAGCTAGGTGCAATTTTTAAATTTTTTTTTTTTTTTTTTTTTTGAGACAGAGTCTCGCTTTGTTGCCCAGGCTAGAGTGAGTGCCGTGGCGTCAGCCTAGCTCACAGCAACCTCAAACTCCTGGGCTCAAGCGATCCTTCTGTCTCAGCCTCCCAAGTAGCTGGGACTACAGGCATGCGCCACCATGCCCAGCTAATTTTTTCTATATATATTAGTTGGCCAATTAGTTTCTTTCTATTTATAGTAGAGACGGGGTCTGGCTCTTGCTCAGGCTGGTTTCGAACTCCTGACCTCGAGCAATCCGCCCGCCTCGGCCTCCCAGAGAGCTAGGATTACAGGCGTGAGCCACCGCGCCCTTAACCATTTTAAAATGTATAGTTCATTAGTGTGAGGTATATTCACTGTTATGCAACTATCTTCAGAACTTTTTCATCTTACAAATTTGAAACTCTATACTCATTTCTCCCTTACCTGAGCCCCTGGCAACCACCATCATTTCTGAGTTCATATAAAACTCACATGTGTGTTTAGATACCTCATATACAGCATTTATCCTTTTGTGGCTGGCTTATTTCACTTAGCATATCATCAAGGTTCAACCATGCTGTAGTGTCAGAATTTCCTATCTTTTTAAAGCTGAATAATATTCCATAATAATATTTTATGCACATATCACGTTTTGTTTATCCATTCATCTATCGATAGACATCTGGGTTGCTTTCCCCTTTTGGCTGTTGTGAATAATGCTGCTATGAATAATGATATACAAATACCTCTTGGTGACCCTACTTTCAATTCTTTTGAATATGTATCTAGAAATGGAATTGCTGGATCATATGGCAATTCTGTTTTTAGTTTTTTTGAGGAATTGCTATACTGCTTTCCATAGCAGCTGTGTCATTTTTATATTTCTACCAACAGTACACAAGGGTTCAAATTTCTCTATATCCTTGACACTTTTTTTTTTTTTTTTTTGAGACAGAGTCTCGCTTTGTTGCCTAGGCTAGAGTGAGTGCCATGGCGTCAGCCTAGCTCACAGCAACCTCAAACTCCTGGACTCAAGCAATCCTTCTGCCTCAGCTTCCTGAGTAGCTGAGACTACAGGCATGCGCCACAATGCCCAGCTAATTTTTTCTATATATATTAGTTGGCCAATTAATTTCTTTCTATTTATAATAGAGATGAGGTCTCGCTCAGGCTGGTTTTGAACTCCTGACCTCAAGCAATCCACCCGCCTTGGCCTCCCAGAGTGCTAGGATTACAGGTGTGAGCCACCGCGCCTGGCCGACACTTATTTTTTAATAGTAGTCATCTTAATGGGTATGAGGGAAATCATTGTGGCTTTGTATTATTTTTTAATAAATTTTATGTTTTAGAGCAATTTTAGGTTCTCAGCAAAATCGAGAGGGTACAGAGATTTCCCATATACTCTCCTCCCTCACACATGCATAGCTTCCCTCATAATTAACATCTTCCACCAAAGTGATTCATTTGTTACAATTGATGAACCTACACTGGCACATCATTATCACCCAAAGTCCACAGTTGCTTTAAAGTTTTGGCAATTATTAATAAAGCTGTTACAAACATCCATGTGCTTGTTTTTGTATGGACATGTTTTCAGTGCCTTTGGGTAAATGCCAAGGAGGGAGATTTGCTGAATCATATGGCAAGAGTATCATTTTGTAAGAAATCACTAAACTGTCTTCCAAAGTGGCTGTATACATCTTGCATTTCACCAGCAATGAACAATTCCTGTTGCTCCACGACTTTGTCAACATTTCATGCTGTCAGTGTTCTGGATTTTGGCCACTCTAATAGTTGTATAGTGGTCTCATTGTTGTTCTATGCCTATCCCAGATGACGTTATATGGAGAATCTTTTCATTTACTTATTTGCCATAGATCTATCTTCTTTGATCAGTTAAGGTTTTTGGCCATTTTTTAATCAGGCTGTTTTTTTACTGATAAGCTTTAAGAGTTCATTATGGGTTTTTTTGTTTTGTTTTTTTTTTGAGACAGAGTCTCACTTTGTTGCCCAGGCTAGAGTGAATGCCATGGCATCAGCCTAGCTCACAGCAACCTCAATCTTTTGGGCTCAAGTGATCCTACTGCCTCAGCCTCCCAAGTAGCTGGGACTACAGGCATGTGCCACCATGCCCGGCTAATTTTTTTTGTATATATATTTTTAGTTGGTCAATTAATTTCTTTCTATTTTTAGTAGAGATGGGGTCTTGGTCTGACCTCAAGCAATCTGCCTGTCTCTGCCTCCCAGAATGCTAGGATTACAGGCGTGAGCCACCACGCCTGGCCTTTATTATGGTTTTGATTTGCATTCTCCTAATGATTAATGACGTTGAACGTCTTTTTATAGGCTTATTTGCCTACAAAGTTGTTTTTTTTTTGGAGAGAGTCTCACTCTTATTGCCCCAGCTAGAGTGTTGTGGCATCAGCCTAGCTCACGGCAACCTCAAACTCCTGGGCTCAAGCAATCCTGCTGCCTCAGCCTCCCGAGTAGCTGGGACTACAGGCATGTGCCACCATGCCTGGCTAACTTTTTCTATATATTTTTAGTTTGCCAATTAATTTCTATTTTTAGTAGAGACGGGGTCTCACTCTTGCTCAGGCTGGTCTCAAACTCCTGAGCTCAAAGGATCCGCCCGCCTTGGCCTCCCAGAGTGCTAGGATTATAGGCATGAGCCACTGTGCCCGGTCAGCCTACAGAGTTTAGGCACACCAAAAACTACTTTACATTTTAAAAATGAGCTTGATGTCTTTTAAAACCTCTGCTCTATACTTGGGAAAGTCCCTCTCTTCCATCAACGTGAGAAGCTGGCCTGCTGTGCTCAACAAACCATGCACATGGCAAGCCTTCCTTGTGAAAACAGTGGGTGGAGACAGATATAATTGTCCTGTTATCTCAGCGAAAATGACAAGCTCGCCCCCTGGTGACAAGCTAGGGAGATAATAGAAAAAGCAAATGGACTACAATTTGAGACAAACCATCCAGGGAAGTTGATGGCAATGTCATGTTAAAGTCCCAGGTGACTCCTGGGTTTACATATTGACTCTATCTGTTGACTTAAGACAGTGTACTTAAGTGATTTCTTTTATAGTAAACACACACACACACACACAAAAATCAATTTAAAATTCTTTTTAAAAAGAAAATGCAAATGTTCTTAAAGGCATAACCACTACCTACCCAGAATCTGGGGAGAATGCCAATAACACAAATTATAAATTAATCAAACCAGTTTATTCACAGAGACAGTTAAAAAGGTTCAGTTCCAGGGTACAAAATGCCACAAAGTCCTTGCTTACAAATTCCTAGCTGAAGTTGCCTTGGGAATATTCTGCTCCTTGGGAATAATCTGGCTCCCTCAGTGCCAGGTGACTACACTGGGGATGCTAATTTTCAACTGTGAATGTCTCTGCTAGAGAAAGGCAGGCTTATGCTTCCTCTTTAACAACCTTGAAGCATAATGACGTTTAACCTGTATGTTGCATATCCCTCCTGATTTCTACGAATTTATGGAAAGACCTGACTCTAAAGGCAAAAAGCAAGCCTACATCAGTAATTATGTAAGTCAGAGGGTGGCAGTCATGACTACTGACTCGAAATAAACATCACAGGCTACACCCCAGTGGGGAACTCTAGGGCAATGGATCTCTGCAACCAGTGCTACTAATTCAAGTCCCAAGTTTTCCTGCTCCAGCAGGCTGACCTTCAAGGATTGCATCAGGGCTCAAAAATAAGCAGGCAGGATGAGTCTCAGGTTGTTTGTTGCCTGGGAGGGAAGTTGTGCCATATTACCCAAATGTTAAGGGCTGGACACTCTTTTGCTGTTCTTTATGTAGCTGCTGAGCCCTATTTTTTAGCAGCTCAGCTTTGGCCTCGTCCTTGTTGACACCATCCCCCAGCTTGTACATACGGCTGGCATTGGCGCAGGCCCAGACATGGCCCAGGTCACAGGCTTTCAATGAGTATTTACATGCCAGGCCCATGTCTTTGGGAAAGCCAGGGGCACCCTGCAGGAATATGGCACTGAGATTGAAGCAGCTGGAGGCATAGCCACCATCACAGGCCTTTGTATAGTAGTCCCTGGCCTTCCCCACGTCGGGTGTGCCATCTTCATTGACCCGTCCATCATGTGCCAGAAGACCAACATTATGACATGATTCTAGAGACTTCTTTCCAGGCTTTTCGCATGCCATCAAAAAGCAGTTGTAGGCAGCTTTCAGGTCCTGGGTCAGTCCTCCTGAAAGGAAAGCAAAGAAAAAAGTAAACCCAAGACAGGGCAAAACTGAAATGCCTCTGGCCAAAGTTAGAGAACAATTACTGAAATGACACTGTCCTGTCCTTGTGGATCTTATGGTCTCATGAGACAGTCTTTAAACCACCATAAAAAATAAATGTATGATTATAAGTGTGACATGGGTATAGAGGAAAAGTATAGGGTGCTATGAGAATGTATCAGGCCCTTGACCTAGACCAGGGGGTGGGGGGAAGGAAAGATTCCTCAAAGAAGTGACATTTGAGCTATGATATAATGAAAAAAAAGGAAAACAAAATATGAGTGGGAGATTTTCCAGGCAGAGAGAATGGCATACAAACAGAAAAGGAGCCACTGTGGCTAGAACCCAGAAATCACTGCAGGAGGGAGGCTGGAGAAGCAGGAAGGGGCCAGATCATCATTCTCATTAATCGAACACCATTCCAGTCATCTTTGTAGCATGTGTTCAGATTAAACGTTGACTGGCCGAATGGATACTAGATAGAAATATTTTGAAAAATTAGATCACAGATGCTATTTATAAATTTTTAAAAATAGTATTTTAGAGATGTGATCTTCCTTTGTTGTCCAGATTGGAGTGCAGTAGCAAAATCATAGCTCACTGCAGCCTCAAACTACTGGGTTCAAGCAATGTTCCCACCTCAACTTCTCAAGTAGCTCGGATTACAAACCTAAGCCACTGCACCTGAAAATTTAACTTTTATTTTACTTCAAATTTATCAGAAGAAAAGCAAACTGAAGTGACACTAAGGAAATTGTTGACTTTCAAATTAACATTTCTTCCACACAGAAAATTTCCTATACAAGCCACGAGAATTATGACGAGTTTAGAAAAAAGATGAAAAGATCAGAATCATTTTTTTAAAACTAAATTTTAGACAGAATACTATTTTACAACTATAGACAGGATATTGGCACCTCATGCTTCCAGCTCTCCTCCCCAACCTTCTGCTTTGTCAATTATGTTATTTCAACTAAGGCAGACAGCACAGCACAGCACAGCACAGGAGACAGCGTAATAAAACCTGGGCTCCAGTCCTGGCTCCATTACTTATGAACCGCGTGGCCTTAGGGAAGTTACTTAACCTCTATGGGCCTCAGTTTTCCTCATCTGTAAAATAAGGACAATAGTATCTACTTCATATGTTGGAAGCTTAAACATATTCTTACAAAGAGCCTGGCATGTAATAAGTACTGTAAATATACTTATGTTTCTATGCCATAAAAGTTAATAGTATTTGCATTCTTTTCAGTAACCCTTATTAGCCCAATATTCATTCTAAATGGATTCTGCTCAACACCAGAATTTTCTTTTTTCTTTTTTTTAAATTAAATTAAATTAATTAATTTATTTATTTTGAGATAGAGTCTCACTCTGTTGCCTGGGCTAGAGTGCTGTGGTGTCAGCCTAGCTCACAGCTAGGCTCAAATTCCTGGGCTCAAGCGATCCTACTGCCTCAGCCTCCCGAGTAGCTGGGACTACAGGCATGCACCACCATGCTCAGCTAATTTTTTCTATCTTTGGTAGAGGCGGGGTCTCACTCTTGCTCAGGCTGGTCTCAAACTCCTGAGCTCAAATGATCCACCACCTGCCTCGGCCTCCCAGAGTGCCTCACAGGTGTGAGCCAATGTGCCCAGCCAACACCAGATTTTTCATAAGAGCTATTCCTCAATTATTTCTTTTGATTCACTTGTTTATTGGTTATCATATGGATTTTTCTGGAAAAGCTCACAGATTCTATATCCCCTGAGTTCTTTCAGTTTTGGAGAATGTATTCCTGCCACCTTTATATTTAAACAATATATACTTGGGTCTTTGTTTATAAATCCAGCCTAACAATCTCTGCCTTTTATGGGAGCGTTTACTTACATCCAAAGCAATTATTGATATTGTTGGGCTTAAGTCTATAATCTTGTTTCCCATTTGTCCCAAATGTTTTTGTTCCTTTTTTCTCCTTTCCTGACTTCTTCTTCTTCTATTTTTTTCTTTTGAGACAGGGTATCACTCTGTTGCCCAGATTGGAGTACAGTGGCATCGTCATAGCTCACTACAACCTCAAACTCCTGGGCTCAAGTGATCCTCTTGCCTCAGCCTCCCAAGTAGCTGGGATTACAGGTGCATGCCATCACACCCAGCTAGGTTTTTTTTTACATTTTATAGTGACAAGGTCCCGCTATGTTGCTCAGATTGGGTGAGTCAAACTCCTGGGCTCAAACAATCCTCCAGTCTCAGCCTCCCAAAGTGCTAAAATTATAGGTGTGAGCCACTGTGCCTGGCCCTGCCCTCTTTGGATTTGTATATTTCTAATATTCCATTTCATTTTCACCATTGGCATTTTCCTTATACCTCTTCTTTTTTTAGTGGTTTATCTAGTGATCATAATATGTATCTTTAATTCATCACAATCTACCATGAATATCATACTACTTCACATATAACTTAAGAGGCTTAAACAGCATGTTTTCATTTACCACATTCCTATTCTTTGTGCTTTTGCTGCCGTGTATTTTGTTTTACTTCTATTTATAAGTTTCACAATATACTACTGTTATTTTTGCTTTAAACAGTATTTTAAAGACATTAAGAAATGAGGGGGAAAATCTTATCTTCACATACATATTCCAGTGTTCTTTATCCTTTTGTATGGACCCTAGTTTCCATCTGTTACCATATTCCTTCAATCTAAACTTTCTTTAGCATTTCTTTTAAGTCTGCTAGTGACTCATTCTTTCAGCTTTTATCTGAAATGAATTTATTTCACCTTTTTTTAAAATTCATTTTAATTCAAGTTAAATTAATCCATAATTAATTCATTTTAATTCAAATTCGACAATTTTTTTTCTTTTAGTATTTAAAAGATGTCATTCTTTTTCTTCTGGCACCCATTGTTTTTGATGAGAAGTCAATGGTAACTCTTACCATTGTTCCTTTGAGTGTGCCTTTTTTCTCTACCTGCTTTTGAGATATTCTCATCTTTGGTTTTAAACAAATTGACAATAATGTGTTTGTGATTTTCCTTGGTCATCCTACTTGAGTTCACTGAGCTTCATGGATCTGTGGGCCTATATTTTTCACCGATTTGGAAATTATTCACCTGTTATTTCTTCAAATGTTTTTCTGCTTCAATCTCTCTTGCTTTTCTCCTATAGTCCTACTCAGGAAGCTGAGATGGGAGGATCACTTGATCTCAGGAGTTCAAGGTTACGGTGAGCTATGATTATGCCACTGCGCTCCAGCATGGGTGATAGAGCGAGACCCTGTCTCTGAAAAAAAACAAAAAAAACAAACTTGTTGTTCAAAGCTGATTTCAGAGATAGGAACATTTGACCAAAACATTTCTTGAGTAACTCTGTGTAATCTAAAGTAACCTCTGCAGCAACCAATACAAAACAACCCCGTTCACATTAACAGAATGTCCTATAATTTAACAAAGTAGTCATATCCATGATCTAAGGTGATGCTCAAAAAAATCCTATGGAAAAGGCACGAGCAGACCATGTTAGTGTCTAGGACTAAAAGTGGGTTCTTTTGTTTTGTTCTGCGACAGATTCTTGCTCTGTTGTCTGGGTTAGAGTGCCATGGCATCAGTCTAGCAACCTCAACCAGCAACCTCAAACTCCTGGGCTCAAGTGATCCTCCTGCCTCAACTGGGACCATAGGCATGCGCCATCATGCCCAGCTAATTTTTTCTATTTTTAGTTGCCCAGCTAATTTCTTTCTATTTTTAGTAGAGACGGGATCTCACTCTTACTGAGGCTGGTTTCAAACTGCTGACTTAAAGTGATCCTCCTGCCTCAGCCTCCCAAAGTGCTAGGCTTACATATTGTGAGGCACCGCGCCCGGCCTAAAAGTGGGATCTTTAGTCTCCAGCCCCAAGCTATCCTTTGTAAAAGGAAAGTTATTAGTATGTGTCAAGAAAGGACACTGGGTATGTTTTAGGAAATCCTTTGCTCAGAATTAGGAAAGGGGAGTCAACAGTATTGTTTTTTAGTCATGGCAGGGCCCATGGTCTGCTAAGCAATCCAAAAGGCTTGAGTAGCAAAGATCAGCTAACAGGATCTTCTGTGATCATTCTGACTTAAACACCTGGAAAATTTTATTTAAGAATGTCAGTTTAACAGAGAATTAAGAGAATTGTTCTCTGAACAACTCTGTATTCTTTCACACTGCTTACCTTCTCTCTGCCTGGGATCTTAATCTATTTCACCTCAACCAAACAAAACCTGCTCCATCCTTCCAGGAGCAGTTTCAACGCCTCCTCTTCCACGATAGCACTTCCTAATAATGACGTGTTCCCAGCATTGAACTCCTATAGTACTTTTTATATGGCTCTCTCTAAAGATAGGCATAATTTTATTGCTTAATAAACAATCAATAAAGACAATCAATAAAACAACAAGCAATAAAGCTTGTTTATCAAGCCCTCCCAGGTGTAACAGGTACTGGTATAAATTTTTCTTCTCCTCTACTGGTCCATATCTCATTCACTGCTTCACTGTATACAGTAGATACTTAAGAAGCACTTAAGCAAAAAATAAGTCTCAGTGCACAGTCATTAATCATAAGTTTTTCCAATAGGCAAAGGAGAAAACCATTACACAGCCTTTTTTGTTCTCCCTGATTTAATAACAAACTCAAAGTCTTTATAGAAAATATAGTAAAATATGGCATGAAAATAAAAGGAACTCAAAACTTTACCAAGCCACCAATCTGGAGAAAATCACTAAGAACATTTTTGTTTTTGAACACTGTATTACATAGCTGAGTTCAGACCATATGTAATTTTGTATTCAGCTTTCTTCACTGAACATTACACCATAAGCTATTCCAGTATCAACAAACATTCTTTAGAAACATTGTTTTTTAATGGGCAGAACAACATTTCATCTAATGGAAGTAACATTTATTTAAGCTGTTACTATTAGCATACAGGTAGGCTGGTTTGTTTGTCCTGAGATAGGGTCTTGCTCTGTTGCCTAGAGTGCAGTGGCATGATCACAGCTCACTGCAGCATCAAACTCCTGGGCTCAAGTGATCCTCCCACCTCAGCCTCCTGAGGAGCTAGGATTATAGGCTTACACCACCACATCTAGCTAATTTTTAAATGTTTTTGTAGAGATAGGGTCCCACTACATTGCCCAGGCTGGTCTTGAACTCCTGGCCTCAAGTGATCCTCCTGCCCAAAGCAGTGGGATTACAGGCTTAAGCGACCATGGTCAGCCTGCACACAACCTTTATGTGCATTTCTAGTTATTTTCTTAGGAAAGAATACTAGAAAGAGAATTACTAGGTCAAAGAAATGTCCCTCTGCTCCAGAGAGGTAAACTGAAATTCCTGTTAATGCTAAATTTTCTTCAAAATAGAGACTACAGTGGGGTGGGGGTGGGGTGGTGAATAGAAGTTGGTTAATGGGTACAAACAAAGAAGATAATTATATGAGGTGATGGACATCTCAATTACTCTGATTTGACCATTACATATTGTATACATGTATTGAAATATGTACCCCCAAAATATGTACAATTATGACATACCAATAAAAAAGTATTTAAAAAATAGATACTACCTTGGAGCAACTAAATACATAAAGCAAATATTAACACTGAAGGAGAAACAGACAGCAATACAACTAATAGTAGGGAACTTCAATATTCCCACTTTCAACAATGGATAGATCATCCTGACAGAAAATCAACATGGAAACAGTGGATTTGAACAAAACTGTGCACCAAATGGACCTAACAGACATATACAGAACATTCCATTCAATAGTAGCAGAATAAACATTCCTTCCTGGCTGGGCGCAGTGGCTCATGCCTGTAATCCTAGTACTCTGGGAGGCCGAGGCGGGAGGATTGCTCAAGGTCAGGAGTTTGAAACCAGCCTGAGCAAGAGCGAGACCCCGTCTCCACTAAAAATAGAAAGAAATTAATTGGCCAACTAAAAATATATAGAAAAAATTAGCCAGGCATAGTGGTACATGCCTATAGTCCCAGCTACTCTGGAGGTTACGGCAGAAGGATTACTTGAGCCCAGGAGTTTGAGGCTGCTGTGAGCTAGGCTGACACCATGGCACTGTAGCCTGGGCAATACAGTGAGACTCTGTCTCAAAAAAAAAAAAAAAAATCTATAGTACTCAAAGCAATCTACATATTCAATGCAATCCCTATCAAAATTCTAATGGCATTTTTCACAGAAATAGAAAAAAAAATCTTAACATTCATATGAACAACAAAAAGCCCCAAATAGCCAAAGCAATGGTGGACCTTATGCTAAGTGAAACAAGCCAGGTGCAGAAAGGCAAATGATACATGATCTCACTTATATGTGGAATCTAAAAAAGTTGAACTTATAGAAGCAGAGACTAGAATGGTGGTTGCCAGGGTTTGGCCGGGTAGAGGAAAAGGAGAGATATTGGTCAAAGGGTAAAACATTTCAGTTAGGGCAATGCATAAATTCTGGAGAGCTAACGAACAGCATAGTGAGTATAGTTAATAATCCCCTATTGTGTACTTGAAATTTGGCAAGAGAGTAGATCTTAAATGTTCTCATCACATACACAACACAGAATAATTCTGTGAGGTGACGGATATAATTTGCTTGATTGCAGCAATCATTTTACAATGTATAATATATCAAAACATAACAGCCAGGTGCAGTAGAGCATGCCTGAGTCCAGCTACTCAGGAAGCTGATGCAGGAGAATCACTTGAGGTTAGGAGTTCAAGGCTGAAGTGTGCTATGATCACCCCCGTGATTAGCCACTGCACTCCAACTTGGGCAACATAGTAAGACCTCATCTTTAAGTACAAAATTTAAAAATAATTAAAATAAATTTAAAAAATTAAAAAACTCATATCATACTGTACACTATAAATATATAGAATATTTTTTCTCAATTATACCTCAATAAAGCTGGGGGATAATTAAAAATTAACAAATAGAGACAATCATAGATGCCATGTTCCATATGAAAGCAGAAATAGTCCACACAGCTCTAGAGAATTAAAAAGATATCCCCTTCATCAAACTCTCATTAAATATCTTTTCTAACCAGGCTTGGCTGGGCACTGGAAATAAGGAAGGGATAAACAATAATAACCCCAAGAAGCTCTTGATATAGTGGGTGAAAAAAACAGCTGCCTGTCAAAGTCATAGTCCCTATTTGTGGTGGTTTTAAGACATGTCCATAAATTCTCTGGTATTTCTTCCTCTTTGAGGGGTGGAAAGTAAGTCCTTTCCCCTTAGTGTGGGCTAGACTTAGTGACTCACTGCTAATAAATAGAATGTGATTGAAATAAAAAGTGTGTGACTTCCAAAGGTAGGTCATAAAAGACCACTGTGGATTCTACCTTGTTCTATCTCTTAGACTACTCACTCTGGGGAAAGCCAGATGCCATGTCATGAAGACACTCAAGCAGTTCATAAAGAACCATGTCACAAGGATCTGAGCTCCCCTGATAAACAGGCCTTTGCTATTAGCCATGTGAGTGAATTGTCTTAGAACTGGAAACTAACTCCAGTCAAGCTTTCCAATGACTGCAGCCCTAGCTCCCTGGCCAATGTCTCAACTGCAACCTCATGAGATACCCTGAGGCACCCAGCTAAACCACTCTCAAATCCCTGACCCACATAAACTATTGGGATTAATTTGTTATTTAGCAATAGATAACTTAAACACTATGCCAGTGATAATTGCAATTAGAGCATGAAAAGAAAAGATAGAAGGAAGGAAATTAAAAATTACTGTGTATGTGCTGATGATTTTACCTACATTATCCTTCACCAACCCTACAAAGCAAGTATTATTTTCCTTCAATCTATGGATAATGTCACTGAGGCACAGAGTTAAAGTGAGTGGCTCTCAAGGTCTCACTACTTGCAAATAGCATTACCTAAGGTTTGCCTAACTTGAAAGGCTGCACTCCTTCCCCCATTAGTCTGCTGAATTCTTCTCTTCAATTTCCAATCTCCCTAGAATGTGCTTTTCTAAGGCCTGTGAGGACCCTTCTGGGAAGAGAGTTCATCATCAAAGCTCAGCTGTGATGGCAGCACTGGCATCAACGATAAGGACCAAAGAATGCAGTCCCCTTCTTACCTTTTCCAGTCACATAATAGGCCCCTAGTTTGTAGCAGCTATCACTGTGCTTGTGCTCTTCACAGTTGAACTTCAACACCTTGGCGGCCTCATCAAAATTCTTCTGGATCCCTTCCAAATAGTCCACTAGCCGATAGCAACCTGTGAGGAGAGGGTAAAAGCTGTTCTTCACGTTTGGGGCTGCTGCTTGCCAGCAGGGAGGGCCCAGGTGTGGCAAGTCAGACAGTGTCTTTTATTTAAGACACCCCTTGTCCTCCCAAGGTGTGGCAAGTTGACTTTACTACAAAGAATGTAGGTGGTGTTCAGCCATTCCTACAAATGACATTGTCTTCCCTTAGCCAGGAACTGAACAATGTAGGGAAACCTTAGCCCCTGCAATGGCTCCACCACGCACCCCAGCCCTTCTTCTCCGTCAGCCAGGCCGAAACATCCACTGACTTCCATGATTGAACCTGTGCTAGCCTCAGACCCTTTCGTGAAGTTTAGCAGTAAAAACCCTGAAAACCAAAAGGGCTCATGGACTAATTTTTGTAGCAATAAGAAAGGGGTGCTATGATGACTGTACTTACTCCTTGGCTAGGCTGGGAATCTGAAGCCCAAAGAGAGAGTAGAAATGGCAGTTTCTAAAGGAGCCCTTCCTTGGCAGTCTCCTAGTCCCAGAAAGCCTCTCTCCCCTCTACCCCTTCTTCCTTATTCCAAACAATATCATCTCTCATTCATTCTCACTCAACAAATATTTAAGCAGCTATATGCATCTATGTACTAGACAAGGTTCTAGATGTTGAGAATATAGTCATTTGCCCTCCTAAAATTTACATTCTAGAGGTAGAAATATAACATATAAGTAAATAAATGAATAAGGTATATTCAAACAGTAATAAATATTATGACTGAAATAAAACAGAATAAGCTAGTTGGCTGTGCATGTTGGGGGAATGGTTAACAAAGACTGGGTGATTAGGCTGGGCGCGGTGGCTCACGCCTGTAATCCCAGCACTCTGGGAGGCCGAGGCGGGTGGGTTGCTCGAGGAGTTCGAAGCCAAGAGCGAGACCCTGTCTCTACTATAAATAGAAAGAAATTAATTGGACAACTAATATATAGAAAAAATTAGCTGGGCATGGTGGCGCATGCCTGTAGTCCCAGATACTCGGGAGGCTGAGGCAGGAGGATTGCTTGAGCCCAGGAGTTTGAGGTTGCTGTGAGCTATGCTGATGCCACGGCACTCACTCTAGCCTGGGCAACAAAGTGAGACTCTGTCTCAAAAAAAAAACAAAAAACTGGGTGATTAGAGAAGGCCTCACCAAGGACTGTGATGTCTGAACTGAGACCTAAATAGCGAGAAAGCACTAGCTATCTAAAGACAACGAAATGGGAAGGGAGCACAAAGACGTAGCACAAGGATCAGTAAATACACAGACCTGAAAGAAGGAATAAGCTTGGCATGAATAAGGTATAACATGGCTGAATAGGGGAGCAGGACAGGAAATGAAAGATAGGGACCTATCACAGGGCCTTGAAGAACATAGGAAGGAGTTAGGATTTTATTCTAAGTGCAAAAGCAAACCACTGGAGGGCTTTTAAATTAATTAGTTATTTTTATTTATTTTTTTAGGGATGGGAGCTTCCTCTGTTGTCCAGGCTTAAGTACACTGGCACGATCATAGCTCAATGCGGCCTTGAACTCCTGGGCTCAAGTGATCCTTCTGCCTCAGCCTCCTGAGTGGCTAAGACTACAGGATACTTGCCACCATGCCTAGCTCCACTGGAAGGTTTTTAGGAAGGAAGTGATATGATTCCATTTGCATTTTTAAAAGGTTACTCTGGTATATATGTTTGTATATGCCTGAATGAGTATGGAGGAAGTTAAGTGTGTGAGGGGATACAACTGGGCATTAATAACAAGCATGTTACATAATACATATTTAATATAACAAAATAAAAATTAAAATATCAGTTTATCTGAGAGTAGAAAATGAAGTGAGTGAGGGTGCAAGCAGAGAGACAGGTTAGAAGGCTATTTCTATCCAAGTGAGAGTGTGACTTTCAATGAAACTACTATTCCGGTTGCTATAGTAACTATAGCCTCCTCTGGGGTCTCCTAAAGTGCTGCAACCAGTCCTTCTAATATGTCCACCCTTCCCCTGTTGCTCTATATATCCTCCACAATACATTAGTACATGAACTTGCTGCTCAAACAACATGTATGGCTCTCCGCTGCCTACAGAACAAAGTCCAAATCCCTTAGCAGGGCATTCAGGGCCTGACATACTATGGTCCAGACTCCCACTTCGAACTTAATTCTGACTACATCTAGACTCCCTCTTCAGTAATTCTGACTACATCCTAACTTCAACCTTCCAGAAGATAGCACTTTCTTTTCCCACCATCTACTCCATTTAATCAATACTTGCTTATCCCTCAGGACCTCCTGGTGGGCCGGGTGCAGTGGCTCACACCTGTAATCCTAGCACTCTGGGAGGCCGAGGCGGGCAGACTGCTCAAGTTCAGGAGTTCGAAACCAGCCTGAGCAAGAGTGAGACCCCGTCTCTACTATAAATAGAAAGAAATTAATTAGCCAACTAATATATACAGAAAAAAAAAAATTAGCCGGGCATGGTGGCGCAGGAGGATGGCTTGAGCCCAGGAGTTTGAGGTTGCTGTGAGCTAGGCTGACACCACAGCACTCATTCTAGCCTGGGCAACAAAGCGAGACTCTGTCTCAAAAAAAAAAAAAGACCTCTCAGTGAAGTCTTCCCCAACCACCCTACTCCTCACTGATTCCAATTCCTAGGAATTATCTCTATACTTAGGACATGGACTAGCCCTCAAAGAACCACCCAGGTTCTTTTAAAGCCATCACACTGCAGAGCAACTCTGTGTTATGGTTATGTTATATATGTGGTTATGTTATAGTTAGCTTCAAGAAATAGGTATGGGCCAGGTGCAGTGGCTCAAGCCTATAACCTAGCACTTTGGGAAGCTGAGAAGGAAGAATCAATTGAGGCCAGGAGTTTGAGACCAGCCTGAGCAACATAGCAAGACCTCATCTCTACAAAATATAAAACTATTAGCTGGGTGTGGTAGTGCATACCTGTAGTCCCAGCTACTCCAGTGACTGAGGCAAGAGGATCACTTGAGCTCAGAAGTTTGAGGTTATGGTGAGTTACAATGACATCACTGCACTCTAGCCTAGGTAACAGGGTAAGACCCTGTCTCTTAAAAAAAAAAAAAAGAGGAAAAAAGAAAGAAGGCCAGTGGCAGTGGCCCACACCTGTAATCCTAGTACTTTGCTAGGCTAGGGGAGAAGATCGCTTGAGGTTAGGAGTTTCAGACCAGCCTGAGCATGGGCAAGCATCTCTACAAAAAACAGACAAAATTAGCCAGGTGTGGTGGCATGCACCTATAATCCCAGCTACTAGGAGGCTGAGGCAGAAGGACTGCTTGAGCCCAGGAGTTTGAGGTTACAACGAGCTACGATGGTGCCACTGCACTCTAGCCCCAGAAACAGAGCAAGACCCAGTCTAGAAAAAAAAAAAAAAAAGAAAGGAAGAAAAGAAAGAGTGAAATAAGAAAAAAATGGAGAAAAAAATAAAAGCATACATGGGAAAGAGGAACTTCAAGTGCAAGGCTGCTCTGGGGTGGGGGAAGAGAGACAAAGTGTTGGGGTCTGGGAGTTGGGGGTCAATTCAAATGTATCTGTAACATTTTTTTCTTAAATAATCAAAGCAAGGTACAGCAAAATATTTGCATTCGATGGATGGTAGTTATATTGTATTTTTGTATGTTTTGGGGTATTTAAAATAATTCATAATAAAATGAAATAAAGTCATAAGCATAAAAAATAAAAATTAAATTAAATTAAAAAAAAGAAAGAGTGAGCCAGCTATGTCACATTCTGAAACTAGACCACAAGCTATTAGAAGTCAGGGCCAGTGCCATTTTTTTCCTTTAAAAAAAGAAAGTAGGAAAAAGAAAAGCACTCAAAGGTATTGGCTGCTCTGGGTAGCCCCCCCTGTGGACAGCACCATTCACTCACACACTCTAGTCAACCCAAAGTTCGTGCAACACACAGAGCACATTTGTGCCTCAGGGCCTTTTCACCAGCTGTTACCTCTGCCTGTCACAGATCTGCAAGGTTCATTCCCTTACCTTTTTCAAGGCTTTGTTCAAATGCCCTCCTGAAGTCCTGATATCTTTTACCCAGTTCTTTTTTCCCATTGCACTTACTACTCTCTAACACTATGTCAATTATTTCCTTATGCTTATTGTCCAATCCCCCGCACTAGCATGTAAGCTCCAAGAGGACAGGAAATTTTATCTGTTTACTGATGTATCCCCGTCCCTATATTCCAAATGCCCAAGCACGTCTCTTCCCTCCCGCCCCCGCCTCCAGGCTCAGTCCCCGCGGGGCGCTCCGGGGCAGCGAGCCCCTCCCAGCCCACACCAGGTCGAGCGTGCCCCGCAGACCCGCTCCCAACGCGTCCTCAGCCCGCCACGTGCCCCTTCCAGATCCCCTCGGAAGTCACTTTCGCTACCTCTCCGGCCTCTGCCCATCCCCCTCGAGTTCCCACGTGTGCCCAGGCTGCACTGGCGGCGCTCACCATCCGGGTCCTTCTCGCGGTAGCACTGGTAGTTGCACTCCACCTCCAAGTTCTCCAGAAAAGACTTCACCTGCTCCTCATCCTGGAAATCCACCAAGCCGGCCATGGCTCTGGCTCGCAGGGGCTACCCCAGCGCTCCGCCCCCGCGGTCACGTGAGCATCGAGGGCGTGGCGGGGGCGTGGCGCGGAGAGGCGGGACACGGCCGTCCGCGTTCTTCCCGGGATTCCAGAAGGTGGAGCGCCTCGAGCCAGGCCTTCCCAGCAGTCCTTGCGCTATTGAAGGCTTTGGCAAGCCAAGCTTCCTCTGTTCACCGCATTCCTACAACTGGTAGCGGTCTTTCTGTAGTATCTTACCTCTGTGTGCTTTGTAGCCTTAATGATTTTCTGCCTGCAGTCATTTATCCATTCATAATCCCCTAAGCGCCTACTGTGTGCCACACCCGGTGCTGGGTTCTAGGGATATGACCGCTAGGAAGTATGGCCCCTGCTTTCAAAGACCTGCAGTTTAGTAGGAAGACATTCGTTTATTCATTCAGCAGGCATTTTGAGTACCTTCTGTGAGCCATATGTAGCTGGACAAACCGATAATCATTAAGTTGGTACAAAGTGCAATGGGAAGTCTGTTTCATCTCTATATTCTTCACAGACCCAACTTGGATACCAACGTGAATTACCTAAGCAATGAATGGCTGTGGGAGATGATGACTGGAACACAGTAGCAGTAAAGGTTATAGTAACACCACTGTTATGATAGCTAATACTTAAACAGTGCTGAACTTTTAGCTTTTTTAGAGTTCTTTTTAGTGTTCCAGGCTCTATTTCTAAGACCTTTTTATAAATTAACTTATTTAATTCTCACTGTGACATTCACTGTGACACTGTGAGGTAGGTATTATTATCCCCATTCTGCAGATGAAGAAACTAAGATACAGAGAGGTTAATTAACTTGTCCAAGGTCATATAGTGAGGGAGTTGGTATGCAATTATGCAATACAAAGTTTGTTGGCCGGGCGTGGTGGCTCACGCTTGTAATCCTAGCACTCTGGGAGGCCGAGGCGGGCGGATTGCTCAAGGTCAGGAGTTCAAAACCAGCCTGAGCGAGACCCTGTCTCTACTATAAAAATAGAAAGAAATAATTGGCCAACTAAATTATATATATAATTAGCTGGGCATGGTGGCGCGTGCCTGTAGTCCCAGCTACTCGGGAGGCTGAGGCAGAAGGATCGCTGAGCCCAGGAGTTTGGAGGTTGCTGTGAGCTAGGCTGATGCACGGCACTCACTATAGCCTGGGCAACAAAGCGAGACTCTGTCTCAAAAACAAAACAAAACAAAAAAAAAAAAAAAAAAACCACAAAGTTGTTGATAAAAGAATGAATAAGGTGGAAGAAGACCATACACCAATGGGAAAGAGAAGATGAGAGGAACTTCACCTATTTTTTGCTTTGTTCTGCTCTTGATAAGAATCATCAGTACCTTAAAGTGCTTCAGATTCCAGGGAAAAAAACCTAAAAAACAAACAAAAACAAAATTATTGGCATAAAGCCTAGACGGAAAGTTCTCCAAACACAGTTCCTATTCATCTTTGAAGCCCATCCAGCCCCAGTCTAGAACCCTCAGTGGATCGCAATCCATCACCTATAGCAGTGCTTTCCAAAAAGCTCCACTACTAACCTATCCCTAGGGGCAGTACAGAATGGACTACTTCCAACCACTTCTTTATTGGAGAGCAGCGTGTTGCAGCTGGGACATGTCTGAAATCCCAGTTTTATTTATAAAATTTTTCATATTATTTTACATTCAATGCCATAATACATCTTTTTTTTTTTTTTTTTCGAGACAGTGTCTCACTCTGTTGCTTAGGCTAGAGTGCCATGGCGTCAGCCTAGCTCACAGCAACTTCAAACTCCTGGACTCAAGCGACCCTCCTGCCTCAGCCTCCTGAGTAGCTGGGACTACAAGCATGTGCCACCATGCCTGGTTAATTTTATATATATATACATATGTATATTATTTTTTTTAGTTGTCCAGCTAAGTTCTTTCTATTTTTTTTTAGTAGAGATGGGGTCTCACTCTTGCTCAGGCTGGTCTCAACCTCCTGACCTTGAGCGATCCTCCCGCCTCGGGCTCTCAGAGTGCTAGGATTACAGGCATGAGCCACCACGCCCAGCCCATAATACATCTTTAATAAGATAACAGAAAATTATCCCCATAATATGCTGAAATAATTAAAAAAAGGAAAAAAATGTGATGTGAGTGTAAAATACACATCAGAATTCAGAGATTTAGTATGAAAAACAGAATGATTTAGTATGAAAAACACAGTATTTTGTTAATTGTTATATTGATTACATGTTGAAATAACAATATTTTGGCTATATTGAATTAAATAAACTATATTACAAAAAAAAGGATAACAAAATTGTCTTTTCTCAAGCCTTTGAGTAAAACTACATTCCAGGTGATATGCCACATTTACCTGCGGTTTCTCATACTCTTGATCTGATCACCGTAGTACAAACGACTCCTCAGTACACATGCCCCAGGTTGGGAAGCCCTGAACTTTGGTTTCGAGCCCATCTTCTTTAGCATGGCCTTTAAGGCCCTGTGCAATCTGATTCTAGCCTCATCTTGTGTCGCTCTTTCCCACACCTGACCCAACCTTCTGTTCTCTGTATAGGTCCCAAGTTTGTGTCCCTGTTTACCTCTGCTCTTGATGCCTTCTTGGCTCAAATCAGACATCCTCTCTTCTATAAAGTCTTCCCAGATGCTCCAATCACCTATACCCAAAATAGATTTAGATGCTTCCCCTTCAATGCCCCATACCACTTGGTTTATTCCAATACAATGCAGTAGGAATGACTGGCTTTGGAGGAGGGACAGATCTTAGTTCAGAATCCATGACCTATGTTTAATAAATTGTGACCTTAAAATAATCATGTTTGGTCGGGCGCAGTGGCTCATGCCTGGAATCCTAGCATTCTGGGAAGCCGGGGTGGGAGGATCACTCAAAGTCAGGAGTTCAAAACCAGCCTGAGCAAGAGCCAGACCCCATCTCTACTAAAACTAGAAAGAAATTAGCTGGACAACTAAAACTATATAGAAAATACTAGCTGGGCATGGTGGCGCATGCCTGTAGTCCCAGCTACTCAGAGGCTGAGGCAGGAGAATTGCTTGAGCCCAGGAGTTTGAGGTTGCTGTGAGCTAGGCTGATGCCACGGCACTCACTCTAGCCTGGGCAACAAAGTGAGACTCTGTCTCAAAAAAAAATATATATATATTTGTGAGCCTGATTCGTTTTCTGTAGGTGCAGATCCATTGTTTGGCTGTTAGAAGGACTAAAAGTTCATATATACAAGGTGCTTAGGATAGTGCTTGACTCAGAGTCATTCCTGTTCCAGAAATGTTTCTTGTCATGCTTGTAAAGGAGTGGCAGTCTATATCCCCCACCAGACTGTGACCTCTGTGTCCCTTGTGCTGGTTACAGGGCCAAGAATAGAGCAGGGCTTGATGAAGGTGATGCAGATAACTAAAGCCTAGGTTTGGTCATGAGTATTATGTACTTTTCCCTAATCATATTTGCTTAGTTGAACTGCATTGAAATGAGATCACCTGAGCAGCAGAGGGCAATAGAAAGTTAGTTGGTGAAAAAATGGAAGAAAGGATGAGCCAAGTATGAAGTCACATATTTTAAAAGGAAATCTAAGGTTATCAAAAGGGCAGCCAGCTTCTTTTTTTTTTTTTTTTTAGTTTTGTTCTTATCTCTGTAAGTTTATTTTCACTCTATTGTTACAAATGTTTGCATTTACTTTTTTTTTTTTTTTTTGAGACAGAGTCTCACTGTTGCCGGGGATAGAGTGCCGTGGTGTCAGCCTAGCTCATAGCAACCTCAGACTCTTGGGCTCAAGCGATCCTCCTGACTCAGCCTCCCGAGTAGCTGGGACTACAGGCATGTGCCACCATGCCTGGCTAATTTTTTACATATAATTTTAGTTGTCCAGATAATTTCTTTCTATTTTTAGTAGAGATGGGGGTCTCACTCTTGCTCAGGCTGGTCTTGAACTCTTGAGCTCAAACGATCCTCCCATGTCGGCCTCCCAGAGTGCTAGGATTATAGGTGTAAGCCACCGTGCCCAGCCTGCGTTTACGTTTTAAACTTGTTTTAATTACTCAAGTAATACATGAATATATGTTTTGTTTTTGTTTTTGTTTTTGAGACAGAGTCTCACTCTGTGGCCTGTGCTAGAGTGCCGTGGCGTCAGCCTAGCTCACAGCAATCTCAAACCCCTGGGCTCAAGCAATCCTTCTGCCTCAGCCTCTCAAGTAGCTGGGACTACAGGGATGCGCCACCGTGCCCAGCTCATTTATATATTTTTAGTTGGCCAATTAATGTTTCTATTTTTAGTAGAGACGGGGTCTCACTCTTGCTCAGGCTGGTTTTGACCTCCTGACCTTGAACGATCTGCCCACCTCGGCCTCCCAGGGTGCTAGGATTACAGCTGTGAGCCACCGTGCCCGGCATGAATGCATGTTTATTGTATTAATAAATTAATCTCCTGGGTTTTTGCCTAATAACCCTTTACTATAAGCATGATTCAGACACTGTTTAAAATGTTGCAGAGAAACTGAAGGTCAGAAAAGTTAAGGGATGTACCCTAAAACTCACAGCGAGAGGACTGGGAGAAAAGAGGCCTTTTGTAATCCTAGAGTTCATTCACAACAACCATCCTAGATCCTGAAGGGAAGAATTCAAGAGCATTATAGAGCTCCTCTCCTAACTCCAGACTTAGGTTTTTGTTGTTGGTGGTGGTTTTTTTTGTTGTTTGTTTCTTTGTTTTTTGGTTTTTTTTTTGAGATGGGGGTCTTACTATCTCTCAACTGGAGCACCTGGACACAAGTGATCATCCTGCCTCAGCCTTCCAAATAGCTGGGACTACAGGTGTGCCACCATACCCAGCTTTAGACTCAGATTTAACTATTATTTATTGATCACTAATTATGGGTTTAGTATTTTAGATACATTATTTCATTTATTCTTCAAGCATTACTCTTCATTCATTCAACAAACATTCCCTGGGTATTTAATAATGAGGAGGGCTTAAGAGATGCAAAATTGAAAAATATAAAGCTGCAATAAGAACACACAACTCTTGGAAGAGGAAAAGCACTGATTAATAAACATGATAAGATGCTCCTCCTAATGATTGAAGGAAGGCAAATGAAAAACAGCGTGATATTTTTCATCTATTATATTAACAAAGATTGGCATCCTATGTTTGTGAGGATACTAGTAAGCCAGCATTCCCATATACTGTTGGTGGGAATATAGATTGATGCCTCCTCTTTGGAGAGCTATTTGATAATATTTACTAACATTGAAAATCTGCTTATATTTTTGACCTACAAACTCAACTTCCAAGAATGTATCCTGAGAAATTTTTACTCAAATATTTGTTGCAGTTTTGTTGTTGTTGCTGCTGTTCTTATAATAGAAACAACAAATGTCCAATAATAGGGGATTTGAATGCAATGTAGACATTAAAAAGTATAAAACAGGTCTATTCATATCAATACTGAAAGATGTTCTAAGCAGTAAGTGAAAAAAATATATTGTAACAATTTGTGTTTAAAAGTTAACTTTTTCTATATTCACAGAAAAAAACTGAGAGGAAAATACACTACACTGTTAATAATTGCTAACCATGGGCTGGGAAGGAGTGAGGGAATTGTTTATAGCGGACTTCCACAGTTTATATTCCATATTTATTTTTTATAAGTATATATTACTTTTGTAAATAAAATAATAAAAGTACTGTTTTAAGACATGATGTCTTCCCTAGAAATGTTTACTGTCTTAAGGGCCATTTCAGGACAGGTATTACTATCTCCATTTTATAAAGGAGGTTCAGAGAAGTAAAGTGATTTCCTCAAGGTCACAAAGCCACCTCAGCCTCCATTAAAGGGTTACACATCGGAGAGCTAACAGGACCCGCCCCGTGCGAGAGAGTGGGCCAATCACATTTGCTGTGAGGTCACTTTGAAGCCCTGGGATTGGTCCTCGTGTCTAAACCGAGCGGCCTTCTTTAGTAGTTGGTGCAGCTGGGGGTGGAGGGCAGGAAGCTCCGGGTGGCTTTGCCGGGATCTCAGTCCTTTGCAGATCCCCTCGGGACTCTGAGGACTCTGAGCATTTGGTGCGTTAGCCGTGGAAGCACCCTGCCCTTCCTCCTGTGGCCGGTCAATCCCCCAAGCCTGTGGCCTGCACGGCCTGCAGGCCTCCCTCCCTGCGTCACTCCCAGCCTCCCCCGAGCCGCCTGCAAGGCACTGGCAGCTGCTAGCCCTGCTCAGACTCACGTTTCAACTGCGGCGATTGCACATCACATCGTCCCCACATGACCTGCCTGGCCTCGGGCCAGCGCGAGCATTCAGAAACGGGACTCGGTGCAACCTCGACTTGCCTGCCTGTGAGGCTTCTTGGCTGTGCTTTTAAAGGGGGAAAAACACGTGTTTTAAAAGGAAGACAACAGAGGTCCAGAGGAGAAGGGGTTTGTCCCAGGGCACATAGCAAGTTAGTAACAGAGCCGCAGACCCTCAGGGCAGCAAGTTGGGTGGTAACCTTTCCAGTTTCCTCTCCTGGCAAATACCCTCCTCTTTGCCTTGTTTTCTTTGTTTCTCATGCCCATATGTCATGATCTGAGGCAGCAAGATTTATCAAGAATGATAAGGACTTTGGAATCTCACTAATCATGAAATCCCACACTTGATCTGGGACCTTGCCCATGTTGTGTTACTTTTCTGGCCTTATTTTCCTCCTCTGCTATGGGATATTACTCTCTATTCACCTTATAGGAATAAATGGGAAACTGGGAAGATAGTCGGTATAGAGTCGTGGTTTTCAAAATATGGTCCCAAGACCAGGAGCATCATATTACCTGGGAATTTGTTAGAAAAGAATATCCTCCAGCCCCGCCCGAGATTTACTGCATTGGAAATTCTGCGTAGGGGCTCCAGCAGTCTGTGTTTTAACAAGTTCTCTAGGTAATTCTGATGCATGCTAAAGTTTGAGAACCACTGGTATAGAAGGTTAGACCATTGGGTTTGGAGTCAGTTGTGAGTTCTTCTACTAGTACCTTAGTTCTGCTTTTTACTATTTAGGAGGCCTTAAGAAAAGCATTTCACCTACTTGCTCCTTAGTTTACTCACCTGTAAAATGGAGGTAATGGTTGTGTTGCCCTAACTGGGTTTTTTATTCATTTATTTGTCAAAATTTTTTTGAGTGCCTATTATGTGACAAACATTTTTCGAGGTTCTAGGGATACATCAGTGAACAAAAGAGACAAAAATGCCTGCCCTCATGTATTGTATATTCTAATAAGATTTTTGAGAATTAAGATAATTACAATAATAATGTGTAAGGCTTAGTACAACACTGGCACTGATTAAGCATTCACTAAATGGCAATTATTATTAATAATGGGGAAAGGGCTCTGTGAAAACTGATTCATGCCTATGCCATCAGAATCTAATGTAGGGTCCGGTTCAGAGCAGGGTTTGATAAATATTTGATGGACATATATACAAAAGTCAGAGATTAATATTGATATCTCACTTGTCTGCATGGGCTTCCTCTATAATCCATTTTTAGAGCTGACAACTCAACAAGAAGCCACATATTCCAATAAGCCTTCTCCTCCTACATTTGTATATTTCACACTTTCCAGTTGTTGAAAGGTAACTTTCTCCACATTCACATGTTGTGACAGGTTTGAAATGTAGTTGGTGTATAATAAATGTGTGTTGAATGAATGAATGAACACCTCAAGCAGCAAAGAAATATGCTGGAAATAATTACTTGAATAGGAGTTAGGAGGCTTCAATTCTAATTCCTGTTCTGCCACTTCTATAATGTTTGCTTTGGCTAAATCCATTCTCTATTCAAATCTTCTGTCTCCTCGTCTATAAAATGGGATTCATAATCCCTACCTCCCCCCCCCCAATTCTGGGAGAAGACAGACCAACCTTAATACCTAAGTTTTAAGGAAATTCACACAACCATAAATGTATTGTCTCATTTTACCTCTCAGGAAGAATTGCTGAAAGCAGTAAAGGAGATAAAGGTGACATATCTCTTAAAACACTAAAAATTGGCCGGGCGCGGTGGCTCACCTCTGTAATCCTAGCACTCTGGGAGGCCGAGGCGGGCGGATTGCTTGAGCTCAGGAGTTTGAAACCAGCCTGAGCAAAGAAACCAGCCTTTCTATTTCACCATAAATAGAAAGAAATTGGCGAACTGATATATATATATACAAAAAAAAAATTAGCTGGGCATGGTGGCACATGCCTGTAGTCCCAGCTACTCGGGAGGCTGAGGCAGGAGGATGGCTTGAGCCCAGGAGTCTGTGGTTGCTGTGAGCTAGGCTGACACCACGGCATTCACTCTAGCCTGGGCAACAAAGCGAGACTCTGTCTCAAAAAAAAAAACCACAAAAAAAAAACCAGTAAAAATTAAGTGGAATAATATTTATAATCAGATAATTTATAAAACTTACAATCCTATGAGTTATGACTTTAAATCCTTGCTACTCAAAGTATGATCTGAAGACTAGCAGCATTTGCATTATTTGAGATCCTGGTAGACATGGAGAATCTTGGGCTCCCATTCAGACCTATTGAACCAGAATATGCATTTTGTTATTAATATTATTATTTTTTTTAGAAACAGGGTCTCCCTATGTTGCCCAGGCTGGCCTCGAACTCCAGGATTCAAGCCATCCTCCTGCTCTTGTCTCCTTAGTAGCTGGGCCTAGAGGTGCATGCCATCTGGCCAGCCAGAATATGTATTTTAACCAGATTACCAGCTGACTCAGATGCACAATAACATTTGAGAAGCACTGCTCTAAATCAGACTCATAGAACACATGCACTGAAAACATTTTTTAAGTCACCAACTCCCTCATTTTACAGATGAGTATATTGTGTCCAGCAATGAAAGGGACTTGTCTTTCTAAGAGGCAGATGTAACTGTGTCACCCCGATTTGGAAACCAAAGGCTCCACATTGCCCACATCAGTAGCTCAGCATTGAAGACCCTCCCATCAAGGGCCCAGATGACCACTCCATTTGATACTTCCCCACCTGTACTAGACAAACTAATTACTCTTACTCCTTTTCTCTGAACTCTTAGGCAGGTTTGTCTGTGTGGACTGCCCTTCCCACTTCTCTCCTGCCTCAGCTCAGTCTATGGCATCCTTGACTCCTGGTTCTTATCTAGGATGCTTTCCTAATCTTTACTGGTTGGCAGTGGGCTGTTATTAGCCAGATGAAATCTCCTCCACTTTCTGAAGCACTGTGGGTATTATCTGTTTCGGCAGAACATGAGCTTCTAAGGATAGGAACCAGGTCCGATTTATTTATTTGCCCACCAGTGTTCCAACACAGAGTCAGACACTTTATAAGTGCTCAATTTATCTCACATGATAATTATTTCTTTCCTTTTCATTTTTTTTTTGGGGGGGGACTGGGTCTCACTCTGTCATCTGGGCTAGAGTGCACTGGTGCAATCATAGCTCACTGCAGCCCACCCCCCACCCAAACTCCTGGGCTCAAGTGATGCTCCTGCCTCAGCCTCCCAAGTAGCTGTGACTACAGGCATGTACCACCACACCCGGCTAATTTTTCTATTTTTTTTTTTTTTTGCAGAAATGGGGGTCATACATTGTTGTTCAGGCTGGTCTCAAACTCCTGGCCTCAAATGATCCTCCCACCTTGGCCTCCCAGAGTGCTGGCATTATAGGCGTAAGCCATCATGCCTAGCCTTGACTAATGATTTCTAACATGTCTTCCAGATTCGACCTTCTGCAATTCTAGACTGTGAAATCCCAGAGACTAGGGATTTGATATTCTCTTCTTTCTCCATATCACTTATGGGGCTCCATGTGCCTGAATACAATAGGCACTTGTTCACCACCCAAGCTGACTGGTTCAGCTTGTTGTGATTGTAGCCATTCCCATAATGTGTGTGTGTGGACCTAGCTCACTGCAGCATGCTCAGTGAAATCCAAATGACCAAGAAGGGTTGTATGTAACACCAAGGGCAGGGAAGAGATCAGGTTTCAGTGTAAATCAACTCAAGTCTGAGCTGAGATTTAGTGCCTTCTAAAAAAGCTCATAAGATTTCAAAAATCTATTCCTGAGGCCTCTTGCCTATATATAAAAACTGATTCAGGTAGGTGCTCAGCACATGGTGATGAGCGAATAAATTAATCTGGACTTCTAAATGTAACCAAATGCTGTCAGAAAAAAGCAATTGTGCCAGAAGAGAGCTGTAACTAAATGTCACTTGGCATTAAAGATGAAGCTTTAAGCAAAAGCTCCTTGCCTTTGTCCACAAACCTTGAAGTAATCTGCCCCAGCCTGCCTATCCAGCTTGGTCTCTTCCCTCCCATACATACTCCTTGCACCTCATACCAAGCTATTTGTAGACTCTAAACACATTATCTGGTTTCGTGTTCCAGCCTTCATACATATGGTTCCCTATACCTAGAATTCTCTTCCCTTTTCTCTTAATTAAGGTAAATTCTTATTTGTCCTTCAAAGCCCAGGTCAAGTTCTGACCCCTTACCTGGGCTGGATGCCTCTGTGTTCTAGCAGGTGCCATGCTGCTACTGCTGCTGCTTCTTTGCTTTTTTTTTTTTTTTTTTTTCTGAGACAAGGTCTTACTCTGTCAGCTGGGTTAGAGTGCAGTGGCATGATCATAGGTCACTGCAGCCCTGAACTCCTAGACTCAAGTGATCCTCCTGCCTCAGCCTCCCAAGTAGCTGGGACTACAGGTGAGTGCCACCATGCCAGGATAATATTTTTGTTGTTGTTGTTGCTTTGTTTTTTGTAGAGACAGGGTCTTACTATGTTGCTCAGGCTGGTCTCCAACTCCTGGCCTCAAGCGATCCTCCTGCCTTGGCCTCCCAAAGTGCTAGAATCACAGGCGGTGAGCCACAGTGCCTGGCTCCATCCTTCATTTTATGAGAATATTCATCATATTCTTTTTCTGTTGTCTGTTCCTCCCCAAATTAGACTTATGCCCCTTGAGGGCAAGGACAGGGTCTTATTTTTTTGTTCTCAGTGTTCAGCATATAACATGACACAAAAGACAGGTATTTATTGGGCACATGATGCATGAAAAGAATGTAGAGTAAAAGAATTGTCTTTAGTTAGCGAATTTTCCACCCATAGCATTCCTAGTTTAGGAAAGGCTTTGCAAAGCCTTGATTAATTTTTTGTTGAAAAATTATTACATGCATACGACCTCCTAGGAAAGGGCTAGAACAGTGAATAGCAGATGACAGGTGAAGATGCCTGGGGAAGTAATTTTAGCATCTACTCCAACACACACATACACTGTTGCTGGAAGATGCATGATTTCTAGGACATGGACAGATGACCCTCTGATGAAGGGTCCCCTAGAG